CCCGCGCTGGGCACCTCGTGGCGGCCACCTCCCCCCCTTCACCAGGGGGAGGGGACCCAGGAGCTCCCCCCCGTCCCCGTGCACGTGAACCAGAGCCCCCGATTTAGAAACGTCCCATGCCGTGCCAAGGGCTGAGAATAGCTCCCGGCGTCCCGGCACACCTCCTGGGGCCAGGGGCACCCCGCGGGGCTCGGGGCCCGCAGCCACCCCAAAGAGCTGAGCCTGGGCACACTCAGCACACACCAGGTGCTCGGGGGTCACCCTCTTGGGTGACCTCTGCAGCCTGGACAAGCTGTGACAGCGGGATGAGGCACATCCTGTGTGCTGGCACAGGGGACACGCTGCTGGGGATAGGGGAGTGTGGCTCTTTCTCTGCCAGGCAGCTCCTGTGGGATGGGGAAGAGGAGGCACAGCTGAATGCTCACACACGGCAGGAAGGAGTGGCTGGAGTGGCCTTGGTTGGATGCAGAGTTCCTGGGAATCCTGGGGGCCTTGGTTGGATGCAGCATTTTGGGAATCCTGGGGGGCTTGGTTGGATGCAGCATTTTGGGAATCCTGAGGGCCTTGGTTGGATGCAGAGGTTTGGGAGTCCTGGGGGCTTTGGTTGGATGCAGAGGTTTGGGAGTCCTGGGGGCTTTGTGGGGGCTGCAGGGCCAGGGCTGGGTCGTGGTGCAGGTCCCCTCTGTGGTGATGCAGGACCTGTCAGAGGCTCAAGGCCACAACGTTGGGTGCCCTGTCAGTGTCGGGACAGGTCACCAGCCCTGCAGCCACCAGCTGTGCTACGAGTGGTGGCTTCAGTGAGCCCTGAGCCACAGGGAGGACACAAACCCGGGCTCAGCCATCCTTTGTGAGGAGGGGGCACCATGCAGCGCCCCCATGGCACTGGGTGGGCTGCCCTGATGTCAGGCCCGTGGCATCCCCCTTGCTCGGGTTGCCCAGCTGCTGTGCATGCCTGGGATTCCTGCAGCCTCCTGACACAGCACGGCACGGCATGGCGCGCTGTCCCCACTG